TCCGCTCACAAAACACTGCGATGTCATTTAAACTCAAGTATAAATACATAGAAATCCGGAGATATCCGGGGTCAGGATTTGGAGTAACTAATTGATGCAAGATGAGAAATAATATCCATTAATGTAAACTAGTTTTACATATGGTTTATATAAGTAAAGAAACAAGAAGACAGAGGATAAAGGTAAGGAAGAAGAATAGGCCCACCTCATAACCCTGCCTAGTCTTTACTAATAAGAATCCCTATTACACACCTTGAGTACAGCAAGTAGAGAAGAAATCAATTAATTATAATTATCAATTAATTATATATATATCATAATCACATAGGTGATAATTCAGCATTTGAAATATAATTTCGCTATCCGATAAGCCTTGGTAGTAGACTTATCTAAGTTGGGTTAGTGTTCACCAAGCACTGAAAGTTAATCTAGTATTAACTTACAGAAGCCTAAGTTAAATACCAACCAATCCGACCACGCGGCTAATTATCTCAGTAACAACTTATATACTCGAAGTCCTAAATCTTTATGGAAATGGAAAGACCTTCCATATAAGATCATGAACACTGTCACTGTGTATTGTAGTAGGTACTTCTAATAATTATCGGCTAGCTCTAGGAATACGCTAATCAGACATAAACGAGATATACATGGATATCAAGGCGTAAATCTGACAGGGCGATGGAAGGAACACAGGTGATCCAACATCATCGCAAATAACTTAGTATCATCTTCCACAAAGGCTTTTAATTTGACAAGACAAAGTTTTATAATTTGTAATAAATATGCCAAATATCAGCCTAAGATAACAAATCAATCAAACTTCATTGGTTTTCTAATTCCATTCTGCAGATGTCCACTACTTCAGCAGAAAGGACATGAAATTAAATACACAATATTATGTATTAATATATCTTTAATAGATAATTTTACCTCACCTTAGTTACCTTAAACCAATACCGATAATACCCAAAGAAGAAGAGTATAATAAACCGCTACTGTTATCCTTCGTACAATACATTGATCAAGTATATTGTACCAAGTTGTCACAGTTTACCTTCCTTATAATTAAGTAAAACAACATTGCTTAATGTATGGACACCTTCAGAATGTGCGTGTAATCAATAAAATTGCAATTACTCTAGGTGTCCTAACTACTATGAATTCTACATTAAGATTAATTGATTGAATAAAAGTAAACTAAATGAAATCTATATTTTATAGTTTAGCTGAAGTAATAAATAATAGATTCAATGTAGCAAATTTGCCATTATTATAATTAAAATGTGACAAAAAAGGTCAAAGTTAGATATATGAAATAATTTGATAATTTCAAAACAATATAAATACTCTATAAAAATGTTATGAGATACAATTTTATCTCATTGTTAAACAAAATCAAAGTTTAATGTTTGCTAGATAATTTAAGTTATTTTTCGGTAACTGTTCATTCAACTAATAAAAGGATACCAGTCGAATGAGGTTTCGCAATATTATAATTAGAATGTATCAAAAAAATACACAACACACGTAAATCTGTTAAAAAAAAAAAACAAATCTCAACGATAGATACCCAAAATAAGTAGGTATCCTATCATAGTAAACACAAATCACATACCTGAGAGGTGACCTCTCACCTATTACAAGACATCTAGAAGGCTGCACCTACAAGGAAATCTGCCAGGAACATAGACCAGGAACTGAAGACCCATATCAGCTCCAGACTTGAATTAAAGTCATATTAACACTGTCTCACACACGCGCTCGCGGACACTGACTCTAACTATCAAACGTAAATATTATATAAATTAATACGCGACGCTTCCTGAGTACTATATTATTATACAACTATATTATTAATGTCCTAACAAAATATTATATACACAGCTGAAGGCCTAAATCTATTCTAGATTCCGATTACGGTCTTAACCCTATCGCACGCGCTTTACGAACACTAATGTCCTAACAAAGTATTTTATACACGGCTGAAGACCTAAATCACTTCTAGATTCGAATTAGAGTCTTAACACTATATAACCCGCACACTAAAGCAATGGTCTACCTATTGTTACAAATGTAAGCACTATATAGACTAACTCGCGGCGTTTCCTAAATACTAGATTATTTATAAACAAATTCAGTACGAATGCCCTAACAAAGTATTAGACACGCACTCCCGATCTCTCACTAAATCACCCGAAAATAACAATTCCTTAAATTTCACACGCGACGTCTCCTAAATGGTCTAACGACTTAAACCTTAAATTAAACTACAATTATTATACTAGATTTTATCTATTAGCGCGAACGACACTAAAACTTAGATTTTCACACAAGCTTCTCTTTGTTACTAAAATTAAATGAAATATCAACCGCGATTTGAGACCCAGCCTTCCAATTTTTCAGGTGCTGTCGATCACGTCTTGGGCCCCACTCTCTCATGATTTCAGTACCCTTAGCATCACACCTTCCTTCCCCGCTTCGTCTCCTCACCGAATGTTCTAGAATGTTCCAAAAAACCCTTGAAAACACCCCGGTCACACGGTCCCAAATCAATAAATCCTGCATGAAGTGTTTTCTTCAAATTTTTAGGAGAATTACTAGGGCTGGCAAAACTCCGTAACGTTTCATTGAGTACCCTAGACTCAGCAGTGGAACGCTTTCATAGAATAATAATTAATATAGACAATTAACCCAATACGTATATATAAAATATCTAAATCGATCATTATTAATAAAAAGAGAAATAATAAAATAGGTAGTATTTGTTCTGGTGGAATAAATCTTCATCAGAAACAAGCAGAATCTTTCGCATGTGTTGTTCTTTTACTAAATATTAATAAATAATAAAAGGCATTGTATAAAAACTAAATAGAATCATTTTTTTTTTATGCTTTGCTAATCTAAATTACACAGCTTTGAGTAAAGCTAATTTCACTTTATCATATTGTTTATCTGTAATATATACATAAACACACTCTCGCATAAATAATGATAGTATGCATTTAATTTATTAGTATTATTATATATTTTATTAAATAATTTAATTTCATTAGTTACCAAAGTTTAGCAACCCTAACAAAAATACACTCAGCAAAACCGATAATTCATACGCTAATTGTTAAGTGTTTCCTGCAACTCAAATGAACTGAGACAAATACAAAAAAGTCATATGCTATTGAATTTCTTCGAATGTGATTATTTACAATTAAATGTTATTAAAAAAATACCTACTTCCTTCACTAATAATTCATTACTGTTATATTTTATGCATCGAGTTTTCGCTAATTCATTTTTTTTTTTATATTTTGTGGAGGTGTGTTCTGTTACAACATACATCAACTACTATTTTCTTACAACTTCTTTTTTTCTTGTCACTGCGGATTCCAGTTTTTTTGAGGACATCACTGATCTAGTCAATGTCAGTTCTCTGAGACGTCCTCTTAAAACCTTTCCATCGACATTCGTATCTAAAATCTGTTTAGTAAGTTTTAAAAAATCTGTTAAAAAATCTGTTAAGTAGTCTTCTTCTTCCATCCGCTCTACATGCCCAAACAACCTCAATATTCCTTTCTCAATTCTAGTCAATACATCCTCTTTCAAGCCACATATTTTACGTATTATTGTGTTCTTCACGCTATCACTCAACTTTATCCCACAAATTATCCTCAAAGATCTCATCTCCACTCCATTAATCTACTTTTATTCTTCTTCTGCCACACCCAACTTCAGTACCAAACGTCAGTGTACCAGGAACCAGCAAAACAATGAAAATTAGAAGATGAAGAATTAAAGAACCAATAAAAGTATGAAAATTACTATAGTACAGTAGGTTATTGGAAGTACTTATTCAATGCAGACGTAGTCATAAGCACCAGCTAGTTTGGACTAAAAAACTGATCAACCAACTTCTGTCAACAGGTTTTAGTAACGAATGCTACCACAAAATATTTATTAATACGCTACCACCCACGTGGAAATCAATCGATATATTGAAATAAATTATACAATTGACATACATAAAATTATTTTACATTAATAAAGCTAGACTTTACAATTTACACCAAAGACCATCTTACCGCAAGCGGTATAATATTGAGTTTAAATCTTAAGCCTCAGGCTTACCGTGTTATTGACTGTACAGATAACTTTGTCATAAAATCTTTAAGTATCATATTATGCAAGTTGATACTTGTATATTAATGTTTATTTGATACTTGTATCATAATGGAATTTGAATATTTGAGTCGATTATGTTTCACTGTATTGTAAAGTGAAGCTATAAATTATAAAGATCTACATATTTTAGTAAATTGTGAAAATAATTGTCAAATCTTTCTTTCGTCGAAATTAATTGAAGAATTATTATTTAATTATCCAAAGTTCTTAGGGTTCCGCGATTGTTACACGTCGGAAATGAAACTAGAGTTCATCCAGGGAAGTACCTTATCTATTTTTGCTGCCAAGTATTAATGTGAGCATTAATGATTGGCTGCCACTTTCCGATTTTGAAGGGTAAGAGGGTGCTGGTGACATTACAGGTACATGGGACTTGCCAACTTATATCTCAGGGTGACGGGCGCGGTGGTAGTGATTCTCAGATCTTTGCGATTTAAAGCGCTGAGTGGTACTGCAACTGTCATGGACAGGCGTGTCGCTTACCACCAGCACCCGGTTTGTTCGTCTTGTCGTTAGTTTCATAAAATAATCTTTTTTTCGGATCTGAATCGCGTATATTTGTTTTTTTCAAACTTTACAGCTCTTTACGGGTCCCGTGGACCCTGGTGGCTAACCAGTCACCTGTGACCATGAAACCGATACACGATTTAAAAAAAATTGTTTCATTTACTGTTGCACCTAATTATCTATCATATTAAAAAAGGTGATTTCAAAACAATATAACAAGAGGTATTGTGTATTAATAGAATTTTTTCTATTGTTGCAGGCTAACTATGAATCTAGAAAATATCTGAAAAATCCACAACAGATGCATTAAATACAACCATCAACAACATGCGAGAGCGCTATAAGAAATGGCGACAAAATTCAAAGAGGAACTTGAAAATCAAGCGCCATTTATAAATAGCACCATCCTGCGCCCGAGTGGTTTCAATTTTGAGGAATTCAAAATTAGAACGTGGACGGGGAAACGGAAATGGATGCGACGACCGGACGTCGGGGTTTGGTTCCTGCCTTTTACGTTCTTGTTGATCGGTTGTCATGGTTACCAGGAACAGAGGTTTGCCATGGAGCCGCAGGACCAGGTAAATATTTTTTCCTTTACCGTTCTGGGAATCCATTTTCTATTTTTGTTTTGAATACTGTTCGGAAATAGTCTTTTTTTATGATTTTAAAAAGAAGCAGTAGAACCCTTTACAAGAGAGTTTGTCCAGGGAATTACCGTCATCTTATTTGTTTTTACTGCCAAGCAGTAATATGAGCATTACCACGTTTCGGTTTTGAAGGGCTGGTGAAATTACAGGCACATGGGACTTGCAAACTTTATGTCTCAGGGAATGGGCGCAGTGGTAGTGCCCCTCAGATCTTTGCGATTTAAAGCTCTGAGTGGCACTGCAACTGTTATAGACAGGCGTGTAGCTTACCATCAGGCGCACGACCTGTTCGTGTTAATATTATAAAAAACAAAATATTGTACAATTGAAATTAGGCTATAACTTTTTTATGCTTAAATATGACAGTTATAAAATTTCACATATATATAATTTGATTCATGCCAATCGTCTTACTTTTATAGCTGCCTCAGTGCAGTGGTCGAACGATTACCATGATGGTCTAGCACGCAGAGGAGTAGAAATATTTGCATGGCCTGCATATTTCTCTCGAGAGTTTGGGTGTAATTTGTGGTTGTGGATGTGTGTGTCCTTTTTATTTATTTTGTTCATAATTTTCATGTGATAAAAGCACTTTTGATGTACGAATGGTAGGAAACAATAATACCAGTTGAGTATCATAAAGACGACAAATTACGACAAATTCAAATACGACAACGTCAGCTAGTGCTACAGTTCTATAACTTTGCGCGGTGGAAACCCTGGCGGCTGCAGATGAAACTCCACACTAAACTGTTTTCAGTACGCCTTGTTGAAGCCTTCATTTATGGGAAGACTGGTAGCTACTTCTGCTAAACAACAAGTTTAAGTTCAAGTTGGGCGTTGCGCCCCAGGGCGTTGGCTGTGATTCTAACTATAAACTTGTAGTTTCAAGTTATTTTTTTGTTATATTAAGCAAGTTTAGAATATATATTTTTTGTTTAATACCTTTCAATATAACAATAAAAGTTTTAAGATACTTTTGATAGAACGTGGTCGTATTCATCGGACTACCTACTTACGTCTTTTACGGGGTATAACAACGACCTCGGTAGCCTAACGGTTTATATGTTAGGCGCTGGATGCGGATGTCCCGGGTTCGATCCTCGGAAATACCAATTTAGGGAAATAAGTTTTCTACATTGGTTCTAGCGTGGGTATTCAGAGAAGTGTCCCAAAGTGAATTGCTCTGGTATTTATAGTACAAGGATTGTCTGGCACATATTAATTGAAATGATTTCGAACTTATTTTATACGTATTAGGAAAATTCACGGTCTATAATTACGGACGAACATAATTGTGACCTTTTTATAAGAAAACCGACCTCAAAAGTTCGTGGAGTTACATCTATTTGCCAAGTTTTATTGAAATCGGTTACCGGAAAGTGCGCGAAACCGGTTTCATCCCCTAGTATCATCGAAATCGGTTCGCAAATGGCGGCGTAATCGCGTGACATACAAAAAAATGTAGTCGAAATTGAGAACCGCCTCCTTTTTTAAAATTTTATTAGGCAATGTCACATACGTTGCTCTGATTCCAAAGTAAGTAGCTAAAGCACTTATGTCATGGAAATCGGTAATAATGACGGTACAACAAACACCCGGACCCGAAACATCAGATGAGATTGTGGCCAAGCGTGTGTCTATTATATATTAAAAAAAAAAAAAAAAACAATATGGAAAAGTTAGTTTTTCTAAATTGATCGAACGAGATCAGAGACGTTTTAAAAATGAACGTTAATGAACCTATTACCACATTTAGGAAAAAATAAAGTTCTTAACAAAGTGCAAGACATAACCATCCATAAATTACCCTTATTTTTTAACACCCGAAGCAAAAATAGAGGAGTTATAAGTTTGAATCCTCGTAGCTCCCTAGAGGATGGACTGATCTCAAAGCTATTTCTTTCTTTTGGAAAGTAATTTAATCCACATGGCCATTAGCTATGTTTCATGAATATCTCCAGGGCCAAAAGGGCCGCATTGGCAGAATCATAATATGATTAATTCACAATTCATATTATGAATTTTCAAACAAACCAAAAAACGCAATTCATCTATTTGACAGTGTTCTATTGAAACCTCTATAGAACACTGTCAAATAGATGAACTGTATTATATGAATTGTAAGAAATTAATAATATGAATTGACAATTAATCATATTATGATTCTGCCAAAGCGGCCTTTTTAGCCCAGCTGTTCTGATGTTTAAATTAAGATCATCCGCTTTTTTCTCCATTTGTGTAAGGATCTTATTCATAAATTGAATAATTTGTATTACTTCCATTGGTCTGACCAATTTTAAATTTAATAATAGGTACTGTGGAAATCCGATGACAGATTTTTTTATAATATCAAGTGATGGGACGAACAGTGCAACAATATGGTAACCTTCAGTAGAACTATCGTGTTTTAACTAATTGGATCTTAACGAGTTATTGGCTTATTAATGGTGACATAGTGATTTTTTGGAGTACATTGCTTTAAATCGGGGTTTTTTTCAATTTTAATTCAATGTTATATTGAACGACATACGTGTAGATCTTGATGTGACCATAAGTATCATCGAATACAAGCAATCGCCAACAGAAGCGTCATAAACTTTCTAAAATATTTAAATACTCAATCAGGTCCACAACCCGTATAGCGCCAAGTCGAAAAATTAATTAATTAAAAAACAAACCTGATCTTTGAACTTGTCGTTGACGGGAAGTTAACGTTGTTTTAATTAATGGCTTTTTATCATTGAGATTTTATGGCTATGGTAATTGCATAAATATAATTCTTAATTAGGTACATCATCAACCCAATATAAGTTGCAATGCAAGTTGGTGACGTCTTTAGTATTCCGAGGTTTCACAGTTAGGAAGAGGTATTAATGCTAAAAATTTACAAATGTACCTATGTAACTTAGAAATTAAGGCCACAGGTAACTGCCGATAATGAGATTTAAAGCTTTGACATCTAGAGAGGCACCCGATTTCCCACTGCGCTACACCGCAATTAATTACGACTAATTAAGTAGTTACTAAAGTTAAAACTTGGATTCTTTTCGCTTTATTTACATGACATAGTTATAATTTTTGGTGTAGGGTTCACAAATTCATTAAAGGGGCAATGTATGCGCTTCTGTAATAAGTTTCCGAATGACATTCCAGATTTGCTATTTACGAGGTTTAAAATTATAGTGAAACAAAAGCAGCAGGCAAAAAATCTAAACGGTCAACTTTTTTTAAATTATTTTTCTCGGCGTTATAATATAATTTGAATCAATATATATTTTAATCTATTCTGAGATATTGTTTCATTTGTATAAATGAATTCAAAACTAAAACAAATAAGCATTAGAAAACCTGAAACCACGTTCGGAAGCGCAAGCAAATTCGCTTCTGCCACTCGCCGGCCGCTGCCGCGGCACGCTGGCTGCGCTCGTTCGGCTTGTACTGTTCTTTCGTATACTAACCAAACCTAACCTACTCAATGGAGGGCGCAACTAAGATTTCACCTACATGAAAAAACTTAAGCAGTTCATTATTAATGTATCCGTAGATCGACTAATATAGACGGAATAAATATCAATCATAAAAAAAACATTACATTACAATAGATCAATTTGTATATTCTATGAGGATCAAATAATATTATACCAAAAACTTTACACTGATGGTTATGGGTATATGTGACCACTGAACGTAATTATCATAATTCTGCCATCCACTAACTAAAACGCGACTAAATGAGAAATGGTCAAATAACCGTTAAAATTAGTTAACGAGTTCGACTTATCGGAACTTACCCTAACGATGTACAGCTGAAATATTATTAAACATTTTCAATTTTCTGAAAACGAGGTTATGCTTTTTATGATATCTCAGCCGCGGACGGCAGAGTTGAACCTTTTTTCAGCGGTCCTTTAATTATGTTAATGAATATATTTAAATTACATAATGTCATACATATAGTTTATCTTCTATTTTCTATCCTAAGCGTGCCTTTACATTAAACACTGCTTGTAGAATCGCTGTAGTGATGCGAAAGCCGAAGTAATGTGTGGTTACGGAATAACAAAACATTGGAAGTGCCTAAGCCTCGATTACTACCAGAACCGCTGTCGCAAGAACTCACACATGAATGTAATTTTAAACACTATGAAATCTTAACAGTAATTGGTCGTAGTTTCTAATTTAAAAAAGGAGTAACAAATTCAGGACTGTTAATGTAATTTGCACTTTACCCTATTGGCATATTATGACAAATTACGACGTTTTGATATTTATATTGAAATTTCAATCAGTGTGCTGACATCTGACGGACAGTAGCCGAACGATAATCGACTATTAGTAGTGTGGAAAATTCGAGATGTTTGCTTAGTTTTCAAAAAAACGGTATAAGGTTTACTTATGTTTCGTGCAATAAAAAAATATTACGATAAACAGAAAATTTAAATTTTATTAACATCAAATAAAATAGATTTAATGATGATATGAAACGCCACTGTCGATAATATTACAGGTGGAACTATCATTTTTGAACTGTAAAGCCGCACTTTAAGGCATTTTTCGACGATTTTCGATGTTTTGCGTGAGATAATGGCAGATTGAGCTCAAGTAAGAGGAACTCCGCGTACTTTTGGCCACGCCCACTAAGCACTTCTACTGTATTTATTGTTCTGTGTTTTTGGTTTACTAATTGTGACTGCAAAAGCTGCGTGCGCATGTCACGATAGTGGTGCTGCAGCTGCGCTTCTAAATATTGTATGAAAATTAGTAGTGTAGCGCTTCTATAAGTATTTAATTGGAAGGCTGTATAATAATGGTACTAAAAGCTAATTTTAAAGCAGTTTTTTTTATTTTAAACTCGTTTATTCATTCTGATTATTATATAAGTAATTAAAGAATTCCCAGACGTGATTCAAAACGGTTTATGTAAATAT